GTGCTAATCACATCTGCCTCACGGTTCTGAGTCCTTTAGATCTACCTGGTTGGAAGTCATCAGCTGTGATGTGAAAATCGTCTAGGGTGTGTCTGTTGAAAGAGCGCTTCGGCTGCTCCTTTTAGCAGTTAGGGTGTAACCTGCAATCAGCAGAATTGATGTAAAAGGCCTGCAAAGGTAGAAAGGTTGGCACTTAACGATAACAACCTCCACTTGCAGAGGACACTGTTTGTACACAACTGCTGCACTCCAGCAGCAGTCATCACTGAAGTAAACGTACACTTCGCCACGAGTTGAGACGCCATCTGTCTGATCGTGTGATTGCCCTGCTAGCTGGATTGCAGATTCCGGGATTTTCTTAGGTAACCTTGATTCTGTTATGCTGCACGGATCTCAGAAGTTGTCAACTGCCTTTTTTTCTCGTCCAGTGAGCAAACATTGGATGTGCAAACAAAGGATGATACTACGGGTCTGTGTGGGTTAGTGGCTAGCTTAGCCCGGATGCTTCTGTGCTTGCCCTGCTTTCATGTAATCACCCTCACTTCCGACACCTCCTCTCCAGGTGTAAAGTAATAGGCAAATCCGGCGATGTGATGGGCTGGTGGAGAAGTCCCAGATCCAATAGTTTCCTTGTAACTTCCTGCTCAAGTTTATTGTGTTCAAACCATAAATCCAAAAGACGAGGGAACATACCGTATTGGCCCGAATATAAGACGGTATTTTTTGCATTGAAATAAGACTGAAAAAGTGGGAGTCGTCTTATATTCGGGGTCTCGACATTATACCCATTCACCACGCTAGATGGCGCCAGATATAATTGAAGCAAATGCTGAACTTGACTCCCCAGGCCAAAGTGAACCCCTGTCACGAAGAATAAAAATAAAAATAGCGGTAGCACGAAGAAGAAAAATAAAAAATAGCGGTAAGAAAGAAAAGAGAAGAAAATCATTGACAAGATATCAGAAAATGGAGAAACATAACGACAATCTGGAGAAAAGTGGGTCGAAGATCGGCCAGGTTAACCGGCAGCTGAGGAGAAGTTATGATGTAATTTACATTTCAAAAACCAGAAGCCATTCATTTATGAATGTGATTGCACTTTAGTTTACATATTTAAATGTTCAGATATTAAGATTTGAATGAGGCAAAATAACATGCCTTTTCACTCAAATATATTGTTATAATCATTTGTTTCAGCTGTACTGTAATTATTTTCTGGATAAAAATTAATTTGGTGTTCAAAAAGTCTTTTTTCAAACTTGAGTCTTGAAAAAGAGGGGGTCATCTTATAATCAGGGCAGTCATATATTCGGGCCAATACGGTATGTAATACGTTCAAAAGCATAGAAGTCCGGACATTTTCCCCACTGTTTGCTTAAAGGAGCTGCGGAAGCTCCCAAGTTCACCGCGTGACGTGCTAAGTCACGTGCTTTCAATCAACCACTTCTCTTCCACTCATTGAGTTCAAACTGAAACACTGTTTGCGATTTGAAACGATCGCTTGGTCGCCTCGCATGGTGTGCATTGATGTGAATGGGCATGCCATGCGTGGAAGTTTGACTCATTGGCTGCGATAGCAGCAGTGCAGACATCCGTGCTGTATTTTGTGTGTGTCTGACTCAGTGATGATGATGATGATGAAGATGATGTCACGACAGCAGCTGCACATCACATGTTGCTCCTTGTGCGTGCGTGTGTGAGTGAGGCGGAGTTCTCACACACAGACATAGACAACAGTAATTGGCTGAGGTCTTATGCCAGCTGAGTCGCCGACACCTCAGGTGCTTTGTGTCTCTGGACGTCTTCCAAGCTGCAGGACGCATGCTGCATGAATGCTAATATTTGGACACGACCGCCACAAGTCATGACGACTGCTTCATGAATTCACCTCACCTGCACATGCTCGATCTTTTGCTCAATCCAGCTTTGGCAGGACTGAGAAGAAAGCAGTTTTACCATAAGTCAAGGGTCAGCAATTTTGTTGGAAGTGAGAGCTACTCCGTGCGGACGAATTAATACAAAGTGTTGCCAGTCTGATCCACGCTTCTAAAAGAGTTTGATGATGTTTTATTGTATGTTGATGGAAACTGAATAAAATGTACTCATTTAAGAATGACTGGTTCTTTAATGTGTTTGTTTTTTAGTTTTTTTTTCTGTGTGTAATGAGGACTCAATCAACGACAAAGTAACTCCACCAATGTTTTTTCCCTTGTCAGAGGATTCTAATGCCTCCAGCAGAGCTCTGGGTCATCGTCGACGTCAATATTAGCCTTGAATGACTACTAGACAAGCTCAAGACGAGCTCAAGCCGATCCTACGGTCGTTGAGTCACTTCATTCACAGCAACTTCTCTACAGGCATTACCTGCCTTTCACACTACCCCCCCCCCCAACTCCCCGACACGTACATTCACACTTGCTCAGAATCTACACACAAAACTTTCCACTCTTCATCTTTCTTGTATAAGCATAAACCAAACCATTAATGAAATGACATGATTTTAATTATCTGCGCTTAAGCGGTCAATTCATATCCCATTAATCCTCTTTTGATCTCTGCTAATCAGAGATCAACATCTTTGAAATATGCATTCAAGGTCGTTTCTAACATTGAATATAGCCATAATTGGAGTGTAGCAAATATCAGGAAAAAAAATGAAGGGGAGGATAGAGGGGCGGTATCCACCTGCAACGTGTCATCCACTCCTGACATTGCAAACCAAGGTGGCCCGCTGGTTAGCACGTCGACCTCACAGTGCAGAGATAACAGGTTCAATTCCAACTTCCAGCTTTATTAATAACCCACTGAAGAAACTTGTTAGACATAAATATGTACTTATATGAGAATTGGGATTTCATTTGTAAGGTGGCCCGGTGATTCAGTGGTTAGCGCGTCAACCTCACAGTGCAGAGGTCGTGGGTTCGATTCCGGCTTCGGCCTCCCTGTGTGGAGTTTGCATGTTCCCCCCAGGCTTGCGTGGGTTTTCTCCGGGTACTCCGGTTAACTCCCCCCCGCCCCCCACACACACATTCCAAAAACATGCATGGCACGCTGATTGAACACTCAAAATTGTCCCTAGGCGTGAGTGTGAGCGTGGATGGTTGTTCGTCTCTGTGTGCCCTGCGATTGGCTGGCAACCGGTTCAGGGTGTCCCCCACCTATTCCCCGAAGTCAGCTAGGATAGGCTCCAGCATCCCCCTTGTGAGGATAAAAGCGGATCGGAAAATGGATGGATGGGCTTGCAAACCTTCCATGGCTCTGGTGATCTTTCCATCTGGTGATCGTGCAACAGTGGCCTTTGATACGAGAGCAGGCACCACCTTCTTCTGCTGACATACTATCGAGGACGAGCCTATTTTGGAACTCCATAAGAGAGGTAGCTGACAGTTGTTCATGGACACCCACTGCCAAATGGGAGTTGAAATTCACCAGTCTTTGAATTTGGTCATGAATGGTATTTGATGAAATCAACATTTTTATTTGTGGTCACCCATAAGAAAAGACTGCGGTAATTTGACGACGGGCTTTATACTCATCTGGGACGCCTCTAGGGACCCCAATATCATCAAAACAGGTGGGGGATGGGGTCTTCCCCTGTTTCCCAGGCACCTCCACCAACGTTGAAGCCACTGCAGGGCAGGCACAGGTCAAAGCCACCCCACCAGTCACCGTCTCAGGTGAAGTCTGCCATGCGGTTGATTTCCTGCTCAGAAAGAGGTCTGGTCTGATCACCGTAGGTGTGATCATCGAGACCACAGGTGCCCGTCCACCCACTGTGTGATCAGCAAATGTTGACTACATTTTTAAATCAGAGTTGCAAGTACACTATTCTGAATAGATTTTTTTGCACTGATTCATATTCTGCCCTTGTTTTTTTTTTCCTTAAAACAGGGGCCCCCAACCTTTTATGCCCCACGGACCGGTTTATGTCAGACAATATTTTCAGGGACCGGCATTTAAGGTGTGGTGGAAATAATACAACAAAATAATATGGTATGAGCTGCATGAAAACTGTGGTGTTTTCGAAATATCATAATAAACACAAGGAGCGTCTAATCTGGCCGCAACACTCCGATCGCTATGGCAATGTTTAATGCCGTCAAAATACAATACAACGCAAATTCAAAGTGCATGAAAATGACGACTCACCACAGCACCGATCTTGATTTTCTGCAACCAGACGGTCCCATCTCGGGGTAATAGGAGACAATGACACCTCAAGTGTGTGGTTTATGTCCAGTCTACTTCGTAATTTTGTTTTCGTCGCCATTGCTGCAGAAACTCCCCACCTCACACAGGTAGGATGTCGGAAATAGCAACAGTGCTATTGTGGCGATCTCAGAGTATTCAGCCATAACTTTAATCCAGTTGTCTCGAACGTACTTTTAAGGCCGCCGTCATTTGCGATCTCCAGCAGATTTTTTTTACTCATTTTGCGAGCTCCCTCGTTTTGTTTTGAAGTAATCGGTCACGTGAATTTTTAAGTAATCGGTCAGGTGACGGAGAAGCATGGCTTGATGTGTGTCAAGCGTGACACAGACGGATGTAACGGAGAATCCGGTAGTTTTTTCAAAATAAAACATCTTTCCTATTCCGAAATAAATAAAACGGAATTAAGGCAAGTTCTTTCTGTGCAGCCCGGTACCAAATGCCCGGCGGACCGGTACCGGTCCGCGGACCGGCGGTTGGGGACCCCTGCCTTAGAACATCAAGTTTTCATAATCTTAACGAACAGAATCATATTACTCTTTATTAAACACGAGTAATGGCAGATTTTTGTTGAAAATATATTCTTTTTTCAAACACAATGCATTAACTGCGATTAGAAAGGCCGCATTTAGCTTACTCCTCTGCAGACCTGCGGGGTCATAAATACCGGGATGCTTGCTGCCATTGCCTTTCCATCTCATTGTGGCTGTATTGCCACAGTGTGTGTGTGTGTGTGTGTGTGTGTGTGTGTGTGTGTGTGTGTGTGTGTGTGTGTGTGTGTGTGTGCAGTGTCCCTTGCAGCACGAGCTGGCTGTAAAGCACACCAGCTCTCTTAATTAATTGATGTGCCTCAACAACGGCTGCCTTGGCTTCCTCGTGTGGACCACTGCGGCAGAGCAGACAAAAAGGCAGTAGACTCCTGTTCCAGGGTGGGAGACCATTAATCACCTGGGTGGGTGGGTGGGGGTTGGCTGTGGCGGGGTGGAGAGGGGACGTGGGGTGCCGGCGTGGTCGGTTCTGCTATATTCTGACTCCAGAGCAGTCATCCGGAGGGGATGGGGGGGAGAGGGAGACAAGGGGAGTAGGAGGGCAGTGGACGCAGGGAGGGGACGAGGATGGTCGGGGATGTGCTGGTCCTCCTGCTGCTGTCCTACTGTGTGTCCTGCGTGCTGTCACAGATCCCGGACCCTGAGGTAAGATGACCATTGTCTTCATCATCATCATCCTCCTCCTCCAAAAAAACATGTTGCGGTCGTCTTGTGATTATTTGCTGTCAATGTGTTTACTCAGATTGCTTGCCAGATCCATTGTTGACTGAGGGCTTGTCCTCGGATCGGTATTGATGTGTAATAAAATGTGAGAGAAAGTCACGAGTTTTACATTCACATGCTTCCTTCTACATTCTTGCAGCGATGCCATCTGGGAAGGTGATAGAATTTGTTTTGACCACAGGAGTTAATTTGAAGAGTTCATTTCGAGGTCAAACTCTGCCCACCGTGAAACCTGACAGGTGGTGGTTATGAGCTGCATTTAATCAACTGAAGTAAATTTTGGGATAAACTGTGCAGGTCAAAGTAGTTTTGATGGAACACATTTGCTTCTTTTACTGGACTTTTTTTTTTTTTTATTATTATTAAGAACATTACATAGGTACTATCTGCTCACTAGTTTTTATTGACTGTTGCTTGCACAATTTGTTTGTCAGAGAGACAATCCAGTGACGTTTCACTTCATTCTACCAATCAAATGGAAATCTAAATAATGAAACAGTAACAGCATTATAAACAATACCACCAAGCAAGACACTGAAATAAAGGCTCAAGTCTTGTGATGTGTTGACCATCGCAAAACCCACGCAGGCACGGGTAGAACATGCAAACTCCACACAGGGAGGCCGTAGCCTCTGCTGTGAACCACCGGGCCGCACACATATATATATATATATGTATATATATATATATGTATATGTATATATATGTATATGTATGTATATGTATACACACACACACACACACACACACACACACACACATAATTTATTGCTGATTTTCACACTGGAATGGAAGGACGACT